TTAAAAATTTAGACTGTTTTCTGTATCAGCAAGACCACCCCATTCACATGAGGCAAGAAAGGGGACTCAGGAGAGATCTTGCCAAGATCCTCCCTTCTTTGATCCTCTTCTCTCTCCACATGGCAACATTATATTTAGCCTACAAACCTAGCACTTCTTGAACATCTTTACTCCTCTTGGTCTAGATTTACACTGTCCAATACTGTGGCCATTCACCACATATGGCTATTGAATACTGAAATGTGGCCAGTCCAAATTGAGATGCAGTATAAGAGTCAAATACACACCCAAGTTTCAACACTTGATACATGTATGTGTTTTCCATTCCTGCTATAAAAAATTATTATAAATTTAGTGGCCCATTCATCATCTCAGTGTTCTGTGGTCCAGAAGTGTGGTTCAACTGAGCCCCCTGCTTGGAATCTCATATGGCCAAAATCGAGATGTCAGTAGGGCTGCATTCATCACTGGAGGCCCTGGAGCATTCAGGTTGTGGGCCCAATTCAGTTCCTAAGGCCGTAGAGCAGGTCCTGTTTCCTTCCTGGCTGTGACCCAGGAGCTTCTCTCGGCTCCAGAAGGCTACCTGCATTCCTGGTCATATTGGCCCTGCCATCTTTAAGCCAGCCACACAGCATGTTGAATCTTTCTCATGCCTTGAATTTCTCTGACTTCTCTTTCTGTCATATCTCTTCTGCTGATAGGCTGAGTAAATACTCTGCTCTTAAGAACTCATGTGGTTAGATTGGGCCCACTCTGACAATCCAGGATAATCTCTCTAGTTTTAACCTTTATTTCAACATCTGCAAAGTCCCTTTTGCCATGTAATGGAACACATTCACAGGTTTCAGGAATTAAGGCATGAGAGTCATCCTGCCCATCAAAATACAAAAAAGGAAAACATTTCATTAATACTTTTTATATTTCTCTAATAATGAAATTATAATATTTTGGATAGATCAGGTTAAATATTATTAAATACATTATTAAAATTAATTCTGTTTATTTTTACTTTTTGGTGAATTATAGCATTTTTCAAAGTGCAAATGTGGCTTATATCTGTACCTTACATTACACTTCTATTGGCCAGCACTGATCTAGACCTAAAGAGAGGTTACATCCTTTTTGGCATTCTCATAGTTTGTGACATCTGATCTGTGGACCCCCTTCTCTATAAGAAGTGCTTCCCTTACAATCAAGTAGGGCCTTATACTTTTAAGCCTCTTTCATAGAAGTGATACTTAAATATAGTGATGGAGCAGATAGTGATGGAGCATGGAGACGTGGGCACATGGGCTCATTTCCATGTAAGTGTTGGGAACTGCCCTGACTGGTATCAGAAGCTGAAACCCCCGCCTAGCTAAGGCTAAGGGAACGCCCTTGGAACTGTAAGCCAGCAAGGAGACAAAAGCTTATCTTCCTGGCAGGAATGCTGCTTCTGCTGCTTTATTCATGACTGAACCCCCAAAAAGCTTGGTCGGTTAGCCAAAGACGGGTAAGATTCCCCACGGGGGAAATGACCTAAGCCAGGCACGATCACTTTGGGAGGCCCCCCAAAAGAAGGACTTGGGGGGCTGCAGCAAAAGGGGGGTGATGGACCCTCGCTCCTCGGCTTTGACATAGCCTGAGTTCTCAGCGTCTGGGAGAAAATCTCCTTATCTCTTGGTTACCTAGTTCCCTTGCTCCACCTAAGCCTAAAACAATGACAGGGTGGTACAGCTCGGTACTGAGAAGTGCGGATTTCCCGGGGTGATCAGGCCTAAGAAAGAACATGTAAATTACTGTGAAACCTTCTTTGTTTAGAATGCTCTCAGTTGAATGAAAAGGGTCTTAGGAGGAAGGAAGTTAGTTCCTCAGTCTTACAGCTCTTTGACCCCAACTCAATAGACTGGCAGAGTTCTTTGTTTTCTATAGTTCCTTACTTCCCCTAATGAGTACTGTACTTTACCTGAATTATTATGCAAAATGAACCTAATAAAAGCAGGTATGGACGGTAAATCAGCGTGCTCCCCACTAGGGGGGGTGGCCATGTCTGTCCCTACTTCCCCACAGAAACTAGTTTGTCTCTGTGCATGTGGTGTTTTTTCTCACGTGTTTATCGTCGAGCCATCCACAGCGTTCCGTGGTCACTGCTGGCCAGTGACCCACGCGCAACATGTAAGGAAGGCCTCTGCCTGGTAGCCCTATACCTGAGATCTATACCTGATAACCCTAAGGATGACTGAGTTTGCCCTATCGTTTTGTTTCTAGTGGTTGGCACACAGATGGGTCCAATCGATGAATATTCGTTAACCTAACTTAATCCAGATGTCAGTGATTGACTGGTTAAAAGCAAAAACAAAAAAGGATTTTGGAAAATAAGTTAGCTACCTCCAGTACACCCTAATAATGACAAACACTTCCATGCTGAAGTGAGAGGACAGCCTCCGTTTCAAACTGGAAGCTGAACAATATTTACCAGTTACACGTCTTTATGAGACAAGAGTGTGATGATACTTGGGGAAAAATTTTTACCAAATGAACACTCTAATTAACCAAATGTTCTCATTACTGTGCACTGTACTCGGCTTTGGTGAGTAAACCAAACCGATGAATCTGTGACTGTTTTCAAAACTGCATTTTAAAAAGATTTTTTTTGGATGTGCCACTCTTTGGGTGTGTGTAAGGGTGTTTAGTTTTATTTGTTTAATTTAGCACAATACCAAAATGTTTCCACTAATGATGTTAGTCTTCGTTCACTCACCTTTGCACTTCACCTAGCAGGAGGCCAGGTCATTTGTGGGTGTAGAAAAACATACCACAAAAGGGCATATATCCTGCCCTCATCCTCTAAGCACAGGCAAAGCAGAAACCCTTTCCAGAGCTTTGCTTCAGTTTTTTGGTCTGTACCTAGTCTCAATCCCAGGTGTGATCTTGTACGAGCTAGGCGAAATCATCCTGACAGTCTCCTAGTCCATCAGCTACAGACCTAAGATCCTCTAAGCAGTTAGGATTGCTGAGAATGCTCAGGCCACTGAACATTCCTCCATGGCCAGATAGAAAACCTAAAGCAAGAGAAATTCAATTCCTCTCACTCTCATTGTCCTTGGTAATCTTCCTGACCCAAAGGAAGAAAACTATACCAATAAAAAGATAATATAAATAAACATTTCAAAGTTTACTAATTAAAAGGATTGAGAGTTGGAGTGAGGCATTCTTCAAAATCTGTTTGGCTTTGTGGACTTTATTGCTTATCAGCATTTTTCCCCTCAAGAAAAACAGAACAGCAACATTTGTTCAGAAAAAAGCAAATTGTACATTTCTTCCTTTCTTATTACTTTTATTGTTTGAGGTTTCTTTTAGACTATAATGTGGCATTGTGATTTTGAGATGGAAAAAAATAATCCCTCGTCTTTCAAACGTAAGAATGTGATTGTATGCTATTGTTGCCAACAATGAGCTAAAGAGGTTAATGGATCACATATCTGGCAAACAGCCATCTTTCCTCCAGCTCAATGTATTAAACAATATACATTTCATTGCTGCTGCTCAGCTTATGATTTTGTCTGAGTAGTTGGTAAATAAGTTTACTTACATTTATCTCTTTCTAGAACTCAACAGCTTTGTCCTTCAGACTGTATCCTAAAATTTAAAAAGTGCCGTTTGAAATCTGAGTCATGACCTTTGGATGTATGGTAAGAGTGGGCCTGGAGAAGGGGGTGGGTGGGCTGTTAAATGAGAATTTAGAAATATTGTGCATTGCCAATTGCATCCGACCTTTCATTTTAGGGCTGCCTAAATTAACGTAGTGAAATTACCGTAATAAAAAGGAATGAATACTGGAGAAAGCACCACAATTCTTTCTAGTGTTGTTTCCAGGGATCATTCTAACAGACCTCTAGTTAAATGGACCAATTCCCTCCACCCACCTCAGGGTTGACTCAACTTTTGCATACTAAGACTGTCATTTGAAAGCAGACAAGCAGTCATAGCAATAAGGCTGCAATCCCCCACCTAAAGGACTTTTCTGTGTACTGCATTTTACTGTGAAATTAGCAAGAGACCTAATACCTCGGCAGCAAAAATGTTTATTTTTAGGAAACTCTAAAGGAAAAAAACTTTATTAATGAGAAAGATAACAGCTTTCACGGAATCTTTGGTTGGGTGGGGAGCAGATATAAAGGAGGGGACTAGAGTTGGGAGAGAAGCAACACATCAGTGAGATCAGGTGGGATCCTTTCAATGAGGTCAAAAGCACAGTAACTAACTAGCTCATAGAGTCCCCTTGCCCACTGCTTTTGCTGGACATAGGAGGGACATTGACTGAATTGAGAAGGCGAGTTTGGGATTTGGAACTGGAAAAACGCTGAACCCTGATCTTTGCTTCCCAGCTAGGCGGTGATCGCCCCCTGTGACTCTGGATGCACACAGCAGTCTGACAACCACCGCTGCCACCGCCCGACCCCTCACAGACTCCGCTTTCCAGCCTGGTAAACTGGAGCCACACACGACCTCCCTGGACACCTGTGTGTCCCCAAGCTCCAGGTCTAAGCCCCTCTCACCCCAAAGAGACCGATCTCAGAAACTCAGTGACTGAGTGCCTCTGACTTCTAGGTCCCAGGTTCTGCCACTCTGGTCACTTCGGCAGGTTCTCCAAGCAAAGACCTCAATCCGCTGGGGAGTCCTGCACGCCCACCCCACTCCCTACCGCGCAGCTGGCCCGCGGTTCTGGGTGGGACAAAGCAGGACCTCCGCCTCTGGGTAAATCCTCTCCTTCCCTTTCTCAGCCTAAACCCCTGCCCACCTCCAGCAGCAAGCTGCTCTGGTAGGTGTGCCCATCTCTCCGCTGAAGACACCTGCGCTTCTTTCCCCACCCTTCCCCGCCCTTTCCGCTGCGGTTTCTCCACTGCCTTTGGGAGCTGGGGAGCAGCAGCTGGAGAAGGAGCAGCAAGAGGAGGGAGAGAGCGAGGAGGAGTAGGGGCGGGGTGGGTGGGGAGAGAGCCCGGAGGGTGTGGACTGGCAGCCACTCTGCAGCTGGTCGCCGGGGACCCGGTCCCTCCCGCGCGCCCGAGTGATGGAGGGGAAGAGATTCGCTTAGACACACACACGCTCACACAGCTGGGCACGTCTCTGGGAGGCAGCTGCCGGCTGGGGAGCGCCAGGGGCTGGGCGGTGGCCGTGACAGCGCCAGCCGCTGGAAGCTGGGAGCCTGCACAGCTTGGCACCGGTGGCTCCAAGACCCAAGAAGGGAAGAAGCGAGCTACACTGACTGTTGCTCTTTGGGGCGGATCGGAAAGGAGCAGGCTTCCCAAGGAGCTGTCACAGAGGACACCGGAGGCTCTGCCCTCAGCGCACTGAGTCCGGGGTTGCCCTGGTGCCCGCGCGGTGCGAGGAGGATGCGCCCTTCCTCCCGCAGAGTGGCTGCGGGCCCCGGCAGTGCGCGGACTCGGGCTCCGGCGGCCGCCCGTACCGTGTCCGCGCCGCGGGAGCGCGCCCTGCCGCACCTGGCTCCTGTCTCCCAGGGAAGTGCTGGAAACGCTCCTTAAACTACACTACGCACTTCTCGCCCGCTTCCTCCTCCGGCAGTTCCCCACCCCGGACCTCGCAGCCGCAGCAGCGGTCGCCTCCTGAGTGTCGGCCCGCCCGCCTCTTACTATAAGCGCGCACGCACAGCCCCGTTTGCTCGCTCGGCTTCACGCAGACTCTCTCTGCCGCGCCCAAACCCGGGCATCCGAAACTACTGGACCAACTGCCGCTGGGACTGCAGGAGCCGCCCAGTGGCCTGGTGCGACCCGCCGCGGGCCCCCGGGCTCTGGGCTCCCGCCTGTGCCTCTGCCGCCGCGGACGATGGTGAGCAGGGCGCTCTGCCCGCCTAGCGTCGGGGAGGGGCTCGAGAACAGCGCTGAAACCTCTTAGATTTGGGGGGAAATGATCCGGGGAGAAATCGACCAGGGGTGACATCCACGCGATGCCAGCAGATCACTTTTGTGAGGCGCAGTACTGCTGGGCACTGCCTGGGGAAGACTTTTGAGACATTCTCTGGGGCTCAGGGTTAAACTAGTGCGAGATGAAAAACTGCGGATTGATTCCTTGGATGAATTTAGAGTCTTCGGTGTCAGTCAGTCAGTCTGAGTCTCGCCCCTAAGTGGGGGCAGTGCTCTGGGCTTTCTTTGAGGCAGAGAGGCAACATGCGTTTAACGCGCTTGACAGAGTTTGGGGGCTCGCTGGGCCACTTCCCCGAGTGTCACTGGGGCTGTCGTTTGCAGTGCGAGGCGCCTTGGGGTGAAGCAGGGGCCTGCGAGGCCAGAGCAGAGGGCAATCAGAGGGCCGGCAAAGGCTTAGTGAACTTGAGCAAGGGGTGCGTTCTCCTCCCCAGCCGCCCCCACCCCTTACAGACCCAGTCCCCGCCCCCTAGTAGCTCCAGCTCATTCAACCAGTCCCACCACACACACACACGCACACACACACACACACACACACACACACACTCCCGCATGAGTCGGATGCCATCGAGGGGTGGTCATATTGTTATTACTAAGAGGTGCAGGAGGTCACTTTGGCTACTGAATGCAGCTCTGAGACTACAGCTTCTGGGACTTGGATGACAGCCTTGGTTTAGGGAAGCAAGAAAGCAGCGCCCAGCCTTCTGTGGCTTCCTCTACCTGGCGGTTCCAGGTGCACAGCGAGCAAACCTCCGACGAACCCCAGTCACTTCACCTTGTTGGGCTCCGCTCTGACTTCCCTCCTTGGAGTGCTTCAGGGCACCCACCCAAGCGAGCTGCTGCTCAGATCCCTGGTCTCCCCAGACCTGGCCCGGTAGGTGGGTCTCCCTCCCAATTTCCCGCCCTCCCTTCCTCCAATACGAACTTCTTCAGGGAAAATATTGATCCCTTAAGAAGAGGTTTAATATTTGCAAAGTGCTTTATATCATATTACTTCGTGGACACATTTAATTGCACTGTAACTCTTCTCTGATTTATGAAAACTTAGTCTGATAAATTGCATGCAGGGTCTGATTGGTGAGGGAATGAGAGTGGGTGGGAGACCTTTCTGTAAAGGTGCTCCTTTCTAAACTGATTTGCTAGAAGTGATATACAGCTGGTGCTTCTGAAAGATTTTGCTCAGCAGTTTTGACTATTGTGGGGCTTTAGACAAATGTTTTCACATTAAAATTCATTTCAAATATATTCACCCTCTATTCCAAGGGAAAAAGTTGAAAAGAAGATAAAGTGTTTGCAAATTTGGATATCAAAACTATTTTTTAAATGTTTGTATTGATATCAGTTATGTTGTATGTGGCAGATTTTAAGTGACCTTAGTGGTTTCTCCTAGAGAAACTCTTAGAAGGAGAAATGGAACCAGTACTACTTACCTTCCTCCCTGTGTTTGTGTACAAAAGGTCCTTACTTAAAGTGACCGAATGAGCAGCAGGGTAGGCTTCTTTACTTTTGGAATGTGAAGTCAGTCACCAGTGAGTTGTTGGAGACACACAAACATATCACAAGAAACATAATGATGGTTAAACTTGCTTAAATTTAATTGCCTCCAGGGCAGAGAGTTTTAACAGGGAAGAAATGGAAACTGTTCTGGTCCCTTCCAAATTACTCTCCATCATTTTAAAATAACCTTTTCTAAATTAATAAAATATATAGGCACATCATTAATAATGTAAAATTGTACTCAAATAGATGCCTAAAGCAGATTATCTGGCAAATTATGGGGTTTCACAGAAGTACTAAGATCATGGTTTCTAGGTTAAGCCAGAACTCAGGCTTGGATTTTGATATTGGAAGTTGCTTCCTTTGACATCTTTGTGGGAAGATGCTGCTTACAGTGTGCTGATTATGCTCGCAACATTGTCCTTACCATTTCACAGGCATTCACAGATGTTTTTGAATGAATAACCTTCTTACTCACTGAATTTTCACTCATTCAAAAAGTATTTATTGAGTACATGAGCACACACGATATGCAAAGCTGTGCTGAGTGTTCTTTTAAACAAGAAAGGATCTTCGGAAGCAGTAGGATGCTTACTCCTACACTGTAAAAGGAACTGTGAAGCAGTGGCTTGCTTAGTGAAGCAGCATCTTGGCCCAAAGTAGGTGGTCAACAAAGAGTCCTTGATTCAAAAATCATACAAGATGTTTACCAACCAACTTTGCTTTCCCCATAAATTCCACCATTGTTCTTAACCCACCGCGTCATTTAGATATGACTTAACTTCACAGAATTGACATTGACCCTAATCTTCTTGCTCTTGGTCTGAATACTTTGGAGAACTGTAACTATCTGCGCATTGCTCTAGCTTTCTGTCCATGATTTCTATGGAACAGTGCCAGATCTGCATATGCCAGTAGTATTCATTTATGAGTAAATACAAATGTTCCTGTTGCATTAAAAAAGCAAACTCACATTCATAGAATACAATAAATATTTTGCTCCTTTCTTTCTCATCTCTTTACAACCTTGGAAACAGTAACGTCTCTTAACAATGCAATTATACTATGTAAATTAGCAAGTTAACAAAAATGGTTATTTGGGACTTTCTAGAAAAAGAGAAATGTCTTAGGGAAATTTTAGCTCAGGAGAATTTTCTTTGACTCTTGACATGTTTGGCAGGATGGTCTTTTATTTTAGAGACTTTTATTCATGAATGAAATAACTCTCAGGGCAGCTTGCTATTAAGAGAGCTGGCAGAAGAGGGAATGCTTACTAAAAATGATACAGAAAACTCTGAGAATAGAGTGTGAGCATAAATAATAGTAGGCTTGTGGGATCAAAATTATGTGAATATTAACGTATTTTATTGGTCTTTATATGCATATGTTTTCAGATTTTTTTAAATACTTTTTTCAAATACTTTCATATTCTGAGGTTATTGCAGTTGCATGAAGAATGACTGTTTGGTAAAGGAATTATAGTTTGTTTTGCTGTAGGAAAAAGTAAAAGTTTGAAAAGGGAATAAATCAAGTTAAGGGAATAATTATTCAAACCACAAATTTATTTTCATTTAAGTCCTGTCTTTTTTTCCCCAAGAGGAAGGGAGAACTCAAAACCAAAATAACTAGTTAAAATTTCATTATGACTTCAATTGTCACTATTTAGAAAAGTCTTTACATTTTAATTTTTGTGAATTTAATATAAATTTTTATGTACTATAGTTTTTTTGACCCATTCATTTACTAATGGGCACTTAGGCTGTAATATAAATTTTAAAAAACCAGCAAAAGTGTAACAATTTGTTCCTATAATCCTATTTAATTGTTGAAACATTTTCCTCACTCTAGAATCAGTGTTTGTTTCTGAGTCATGATGTTAAACTAACCTTTACAGCAGAAGTACAATTAAAGCAAAATGTGCATAATTACATATAAAATCACTGATCTAAGTCAAAAACATTTCAGAGCAGCTAACACTTATCAAAAGTAGAAGCAAAAGATATCTGAAGATCCGCATAATATTTAGTCAGGATAAAAAAATCTCTAAATCTCATATGCAAATTACATTATCATGTTTTACTTAATTAACATTTGGTAAAATAGATTAGTTTCCATCTTCTTGAAAATCTTTATGAAAGAAAGCCATGTCAGTACTAAGAAATAGTTGACTAGTTGGTTTGACTTTAAGCCACTTTACCTAGATTGTGCATGGAAGGCAGGTCTTTTTATATGTATACATGTATTCTCATGCATATGGAAGATATATATATTTATATAATATATATGTGTGCTTGTCTAGTAACTTTGAATAATAGGAAGAGAGTCCCCTTTGTAGCATATATGGTTTGCAAAGTCAACATCATCTTGAAAATAGTATTTATAAATACTCAGCTAGTTTGTGATTTCACTCACATGTGGGATATAAATCTGAAACTTGGACACAAACAGTGTGGTGGTTTCCAGAGGGAAGGGTGTAGGGTGAGTGGGGAGGGGGTGGCAGAAGAGGGTTTGACTGTGGGTGGTAGACAACAGTGTAATATACAGATCTCGTACTGTAGAAGTGTGCATTTGAAGCCTATGTGATCCTATTAACCAGTATCATCCCAATAAATTTAATAAAAAAAGTTTTTAAAGAATTGAGACTAAACTTTTTTGAAGAACTTATTTAAGAAACACTTTTGATAACCTTTAGTGTGTGCCTGATGCTGTCTAAAGACTTACACTAATATTAACTAACTTAATTCTGATAGCCACCTTGCTTGACCCCATTTCACAGAGAGCAAATAAGTAGTTATTACTATCCCCATTTACATGAGGAAACTAGGACTCAGGGTATTATCCCCAGTTACATGAGGAAACTGGGGCTCAGGGAGCCTAAATCAGTGCCTCATGCTCCACAGCTAATAAATGACAGAACTGGCATGTGAGCCCAAGCAGTGCACTATGCTATGCCACTGCTCTTGAACAGATATATATATATATATATTTTTATTTTTAAAATTTTTTTAACATTTTATTTATTTATTTTTAGAGAAAGGGGAAAGGAGGAAGAAAGAGGAGAGCAATGTGCAGTAGCCTGTTAGGCACCCCCTACAGGGGACCTGGCCCCCAACCCAGGAATGTGCCCTGACTGGGAATTGAACCAGCAATTCTTCGGTTTGCAAGCTGGCACTCAATCCACTGACCCACATCAGCCAGAGTTTGAACAGACATATTTTAAACTTACTTAAATAAGGGTCCAAGTGTGGAGCAAGTTAAGTTGTAAATCAAATACCTTCCAGCAGCTGAGGTTTGTGACAGTTTTAAGTTAGAGTGAATTCTTAAGGAATTCATAAAGAAGGTACTTGTCATGAACCACTGACATAACCTGAACTAAAGAGATACTAGGACAGTGCTATAACTTAATATAGT